CAAACGCCATCACTCTGAACATCCCCTTTTTTCTTCCCCAAGCTTTATACACTGAGCATGATGTCTCATGGTATGGAACATCCCTTTGGTCATTTGGGGTCAGCTGTCCCGGCTGTGTCCCCTCCCAGCTTCTTGCCTGCTCACTGGGGTGGTGTGAGAAGCAGAAAAGGCCTTGAGAGCTTAGCAACAACTAAAACCACCAGTGTGCTATCAAAAATATTTCTCATCCCAAATCCAAACCATGGCACTACACCAGCTCATAGTAAATAAGTTAACTCTATCCCAGCTGAATCCACAACACCCCCTTTAAGTAGTGAAAGGCCACATTTCCAGAATGCAATACTGCTTGACAGTTTGGGTTCTGAGACAAGGGGCCTAAAATTATTAAGCTTCCTTTGTTTTGCAGTTTCAGCCTGCTGTTACCAAATTTGTGGGAATGTTGGCAGGGAGGTAATTGGGATTGAGGATGGTCTTGGGCATCTAATGACAACACTACGTATGATAAGCAGAAGCCAGTCTAACTATTAAACAGAGCCAACTCTTCCTTGTCAAGAGTGTATATTAACCCATCGATTCCTTTTAAACACTTGGTCCATATTTCATCTGCTTTCATCTGCTCCACAGACTGACAGGACCATAACAGTCTCTTCTGCCCCTGCAAATCTAAGCACCAGAGAATCCACATGGGAGCTCTTTAGGCCATTCTCCACTGCCCTGCAGTCAAAATAATGATGAGGGCGGTTCTGGTAGCTGGGCTTCACTGCAATGAAGAAGCCAGGCTCACTAACGAGGCATTTTGCCTCCTAGTGGACAGGAGAGGATGAAGAACAGGCTCTCTAAACTGTGCTAAAGCTGAGCTTACAGCAAACTAGGGTCTTGAACATGAAAGAGTCTGAAAGAGCCCCCAGTGGGATCTGAGCACATGGGGAGAATAAGCAAAACCCACAGGTAAACAAAGAGTCATTGTCCTGCCCTTTACAGCCATCTCATTGTTATTTTGAAACACAATATTTATGGAAAATGTGCTAGCAGCTCATTCTGATTTATGGCACAGAGGTTAAGAAAATGCCTTCCAGACCCCTTTTAAATTAGTATCCCCCAAGTTCTGAATATTCCACAACTTCCCAATAAAACCGTATCTTTTACTGAGCAGCTTCTCGTCCAGTCGCTCCTTCACATTTATTTATTAAATGCCTTACCTTCTCGGTGGACAAATCTGCAATACAGTTGTGGGTCTGGTGTATCTGTACAGTAGATATAGATTGGCAAAGACTATTCCAAATACAGACATCCTTTTGCCATTATAGATATAGCAAGCTGCGAGTTTTGGGAGAAGGACTGCTCTGTGCTTGTGAGTTGCCAAGTACCTGATAAATGTGTGTGTGATTTTTTCATGTTTTCAAATGACATAGCTAGACCAGAAAGGCCATTAGGGGTGGCTACTGAAAAAAAAAAGCTCTATCTCCTCTAAATGTAGTTTCGACAGAACTTCTTTCCTATCAATATTTGCTATGGATTCCAGCTGTGTAAGTAGACCGCATAATGTATGTTTTTCAGACCATATTATTCAACCTTTTATTTAGTTCGTACCCAGTTCAGGAAAGAACAGAAGTAAAACGTTAACTCAAAATAGCATGGATCAACAAAATAACAGAGCCCATGGGAACCTTTTTGTTTTCAATAATTCTAAAGATTACATAGGTTTGCTGCTATATTCATTGTAGATGCTATGATATTATATTTTGTTATATTGTTATATTTTACTCAAACACGGCGTTTTTTCTCCGAACTACATTTTTCTGTCTTATTTTCTGTGAAACTGAGAAAGTGCTTTGTCTCCTGGCAAAGCATTTCTTTCTTTTGGGTAAAAATGATCCTGCCTCACTTAGTAGTCCCTTAGGGAAAGTTTTGGGAACATAAGAAGCATGGACTCAAGTGCTTGGCGTGTGCTATGTGTTGGTTATACAAAGCGTGGTGAAGCTTAGCAGAGAGGTTCTTTGTGGTTACCAGCCACTGTGTGGAGGGGGTAGCCAGATAGGAGCCCTTGCTGCAGTAAGGTTTTTGCCATAATTTTCAGTGGAGGCAGGAGTCGCATCTGAGGATGGGAAAGTTTGTTCTTCTCTGGCATATGACAGGAATCGTAATGCTTTTCACTTTTCTCTAAAGCATAATATCTGGATAATTGTTGTGTTTTACTCAAATGGATTCCTGTAAATATAGGGCTGCTTCAAGGCACGTGGCTTCTTTTCAGATATGTCTGCATTGATAGAGAGGATAGGTGGCACACAAGTGCCCAGAGTATTCTAGCAATTCCCTCACTTGGGACTGGGGTTTCATTCTGGATTTTGAGCAATAGTCATGCAGGGATTGCTATCAAGAAATGATTATTTAAACCACCTTCCGAAATAGACTTTTGTGTAATTTTTATATATCCGATAGCTCTTCAAGGTATTTGTACAGCAAACATTTTTTAAAAACATTTACCACAAGTAAATAATGGGAGTAGCTATCTACAGTTAGCTAAAGGTCCAGCATATCAGTTATTAACTACAATAATCACAGATTGCAATAGTTCTCTGAGCCATTAGAAAGGTATAATTTACATGTGCAATGGTTTTTTGCAGCAGAATTTAAATGTGAAGGAGGAAGCCATAAGGCAGATGTGTTCTGATTGAAAAGAGCAATTAGAGGGCAGCCTGTGGTCACAGCATCATGGTTGGTACAAAAAAGAGACTGGAAGCCTGTGGCCTTGTTCTTCCCTGTGCTGAAAGCACTGTGGTCAGCACCTGCAGCTTTAGCCCAATATATCATTTAAAGGATGTGAAGCTACACATGAGCTGGTTTTGTATGCATTTCCAAAACTGACTGTTTTCTTTCTTTAATGCACTGCAAACATTTCTCTGGCTAACACAACTTATTATTACTACATGTCAGGGCTTTTATTGCATAATCTTGGCATCAGCTGCAAAAGGCAACTGAGTGCTCCCAAAATGTATCTTACACAGAAAACCAAAAAAAAGATAGAAGAGGCAATTCCATCGAAACATCTGTGATGACATATTCAGCCCATTATTTTGTCAACAGTGCAAGTATTTGATGGCATAATAAAAGGATACACTTTACTTAGCAAAAACATTAAGGGATAACAGCCAAGTTAAATAGGGTGTGATTAAAGGTTTGCTTAACCCACGGGATTCCACATCCAGAAAAATAAAAATAGAGCCATTTTTATCCCTCTTTCCAAGATCTATTTGCATGCTCTTGTTTGGGGGTTAAAAAATCACTTTAAGAAAAGGGAGAGTATTTTTTGTAATTTATGTTTCATACTGAAAAAAAGTTTTGTGTGTTAATCATAATAGCAACAAAAATCTGAATTGCAAAGGGGAAAAATCAAGCCCACCTGGGAGAAGAGATAACAGGAATTAATCATGTGCAAACTGCTTTGAGGAAAAAAGAGCACAATCCAGTTTAAAGACTCATTTTAAATTATTCCTGTGCACTAATTTTCTGCTTCATTTTATTGACATAATTGATGCTATACTTCAACACATCTTGGAAACACACTGCAATGAGCATATTTCCTTCTGATATGTGTTTTTTCAAACAAAGAGCAAAGAAGTGATAATTTATTACAGTGTATTTTTCACATGAAAGTTGACTTTCATGAAGAGGAACTGGTTTTGTGGGGGTTTTTGTGCTATGCTTCCCCTCTGCAAGCAAATACTGAATTCTAAAATCAAGTTAGTATTGTAGTGTCTATGGCATGTTACTACACTGGTAAGCTTGGCATTCCAGGGGTATTTGAAAGTTCCCAATAGAAACATTTTTTCAGAGAGACACTTAGCACAGATGGCCAAAGGTTATCTATGGAAATTACCATAGAACCATACATTTTTTTCTGAAATACCTACAGGAGTACATAGAGGAAAATAAATGTTACTGGGAATTCTTGTAGTGTCCTCCTTTCCAGAAAATACAGTAAAAATAAAATAGAAATTGAGGCTTTTCAGTGTCCAACTAAAGTACAGTTGTTATTGTAATTTCTGAGCAAATTTCCTCCTTGTAAAAAAACCTGTACAGAGCATACATACTTTCTAACTTCTATGGCTGCTCTTAGGAACAAAACTAAACCTTTTTTTTTTACAGGCAGCAAAAATGTTGTACTGGGTTGAGGATGGGACTCTGGGTCCATGTCACTTAGAGCTATTTGCAATTCCAGAGTTTTACAAATTAATTGTTATTTACCTTGGTGGTGTTGGTGCTATAATAAATAACAACTGACTTGATGAAGATGACAGAGAATGGCATTTCTGAGTCTGCAATTAAAACTCCAGAGTTCCTAAACTAGAGAATAAATGTGACTGTCAGTAACTGTATTAGATTTTGGAAAAACTCTGTTATTTATATTAAACCTTTATTTTATATGTTGCCACGAGCTCATCTGGCCCATAAAATGGAGACTAATACTCTGCTAGAGGGTAGGGTACCGTGCAGCTGTTCCAATGACAAATACCACAGATAAAGTCACAGTTTAGTTTTCCTGCAGGTAGACAATCCAATGATCATGGCTCTTCCAGTGCAAAATACAAAGAAAGAAACAGCATTCGATAAACCTCGTTTCCTGGCAGAAATTGCCATAAATTTCTCAGTTGGAAGTCCTGCATAACACTAAGGAAATCACTGAACAGACTCCTGATTTACATTAGTATAAATTAGTGCAGAATGGCTGTCATAGATATTTTTGTCTTTTCCCTTTCCTTTCTCTGCGTTGTATGTTCTTCAAGGGTATAGGAGGAATTATTTAAGGTGATTCATCAAATTCCTTTAGATTCAGGTTTAAAGGCAGTCTAACCAAATGGCACTATGAACTCACGGAATCACTTATTGGTGCTGTACGTGCTTTTCCTGCAAGGCTGCTTCAAAGCGACACAGTTCTTTACAAAAAAGAGAGCCTGAAAACGTTTAAATTGCATTTGTAATTAATTTCTTTTTATCTCTCAGGTTCTCACATCTGGTTAATACATCCCTCAGTTCAGCTTGTAATGGACTCACAACAGTTCTGGACTTTGTGAACCTTGGATTTGAAGGTAAACCTCCTGTCACTGGGCACCTGTGGATTCTCCTTCTGTTTGTGTCCTTAATGTTGTCTGTTGCTATAAATAGTCTTTTTTATTTTAGTTTATTTTCAGCCATGTGATGCAATAATCTAAGTTCAGAACAGAAGAGTCTGTTGGGCTGCCAAAGCTAAAAGACAACCTACAGCAATTCTGAGTTGTGGAAGAGACATAGCAACCTTTGGGATTATTGCTTAGCAACTGCAAACACACAGAGGAGTAAAACTCACAGCCCAGCTCCACAGCAGGTCTGAGAAATCCCTAATTCACTTTAAGATTTTTAATGGTTGAGAACAGATGGGCATGTATTAAATTCCTGTTCATTTGCAAAGCCACTTTGAAAGCAGGAGGAATATGATCTATTTTGAAACCTGCTCCAAAGGTAAGAAAAACAGTTCTTCAAAGCTTCATAAAGCAAAAGAAAAAGTCTTTTTAAATTTTAATTGTACTGAAAAGAAGATCATATATGAAAAGGGTATTGGCTCTTTGTTATTGTTGAGATGAACATCTTCTGTGAGCATATTTGGGAAAGGCAAAACTATTTCTGAGCCGTAGAGTGTCAAAGAGATTGTTTTTGAAAAGACTTCTGTAACTCAAACATCGCCAAAATGTTTACCTAGACAAACTTTAGTCTTTCCTGGCCCTGTCCCACCCTTCAGAATTCCCCAACAGAATAACAATGAAATCATAGAAGTCTTATTTATGAGCAGATTTGGGTTTTGTACAGAAAATGGAGCGATAATCTTTCTGTACCTGCAGGGATTCCATCAAGAACATTTATCTCACAGAAAAGGAGCCAGGAAAGTGGCATCCTACTAAATAATGAAAAGCTTATCTTGCCTTCAGCTTGAGCAAAGGCTTACAGGAAACTTTATATCACATTTCAAATTTCCTGGGTGTTTCTAAAGCTTGTCTCTGTGCACTATGCTTACTTATATTTGAACAATCAAGCCTCCACTTGGTAATGTCATAGGCCCTGAGACCTCTATATATTATGGGAAAAATTCATAACTAATGTAAATCAGCACTGAAGTTCATGAGCCAATGGTGTCTTATACAAACTTGAGGTGTGTCCCTGTAATCCTCCACAAATTCCAAGTTTCAGGGCTTCCTTTGTTGCTTATTTTAACAGTTATGTGCTATTTGTACGTTCTTCTGTACCCTCTTAGTCTCTTTTATCTGCCCTGCTTTAAAGCAGTGGGCATAGTTCTCTGTGCCCTGCTTCCATTCTTGGAGCTATGCAAATGCCATGGGATTGAAACAGAACAGTTGCACTCAGTTGTGTTTTGTTTTGTTTTGTTTTTTTCAGAGACATAGAGATACTTTATAAACATTTACCAGTCCTCAAAGTCATCCTAACAAGTGGTAGAGAGCAGTGTAGAAAACACATTCGTCATCATTCAGAATCAGCCACCTCATAAAGCAGAGTGCAGTTGTCACTTTAACATTGCACAGAAACTGCAGAGTGGTTTCATAAAGGATGTTAAAAAATAACATAAGTATTTGAAACTGCAAGAACAGTTTATTTTGGCACAACAAAACCAGCTGATTTGGACTGTGACCAGAACATTTGGTTAACACCCTGCTTTGAACCAGAAACAGTCTGGTTTAACAGCTTATTGAAAGAAACTCACCTAAGCAAGGAACAATTTGACAGGGTTGACAGGTTTCCCTTTCTACCATTATAAATCTGGTCTCTTTTACAGCTAATGTCCTTCTGTGGCAAAACCAGCTACCTTCTTAAAACCCTCTGTGGGGGTCAGGCAGGCGGCTTGATCCATAAATCCATCTGACTCCCCAGCAGGTAATCACCTTTGAAAACGAATTACCAGAAGATGCCAACAAGCCCATCGAGAAAACAGACAGAGAAATTTAATGCTGTGAGGTATCCTACCTATCCAGGCAATATTTGGACTCAGACAATGGTTATGAACCAGAAGGTCAACATATTAGTAATTACATATGTGTGCCAGGAGGGCTGTAGATAACATTTCAGCATTTCCTGGAAGGCTGAATTATCTTCAGAACATCTACAAATGCTTAAATATGAAGAGCAAAACATATCAAAAGCAATGGTATTGCTATGGATGCTGGAAGACCTTAACGAAAAGCACTTTTAAATAAGAGTTTGAAAAGGATAGTGTGGCAGCAAGTTCAAAGTGGAGTTTCATCTTTAGTTTGGAAAGGTGTTAGGCTCTCTCTGTTAATACCACCCTTCCCTTGCTGCTGTTTAACACTGAGCTGGGGTTTTTGCAGCATGCTGGTGATTTTTCATGCTTTGAATCAGGTAGTTAGGCAACATTCTGCTCCATTCTGTATGTCCAAGTCCCATTACAGATGCAGACAGTTACACGTGGAGACATACAGCAATAGTTTTCAAATTGTGCCTTGTGAGCAACTCAGTTTCTTCCTGATACTTCACAGAATGAACATTTTGAGAAGGAAACAGTTGTGTATGGGAATTTGTAAAGGGAGATATCTGCACCTCTGCAGGTCTGTCTTTTACAGAATAATCTACGAGATTTAAGTGCTTGTGAACAGCTTAATTACAGAGTATATAGTATAGAGTTTCCCTTTCTGTAGGAGCTCTGCTGACCCCTACACCTACATCCTCGTTACCTTAACAAAATGTCCAGGGGAAAAAAATAGTTGCCAAAGTTGAAATTAAGTAGTCTATGGGACAAGCTTCCTGACTGTTTTTCACAGCTACAGAAAAAATGAAGCAGAAGGCGGCATGTGGATAAAGAAATCTTGCTGTCAGGCATCTGGTATTTTCCATTACTTGATTCCTTTGTTTCATATCCACTGGATTTCCTGGAGGCACAGAATGGGACCTAAACAGAAAAAAAAATGATACTAGGGGTAAGAGGAATCCACTGGTTAGAACTGGGGGAAAAGACTTCCAAGCACTGTTCACTGCTTGGTTTCTGAGTCTTTAAGTGACCTGGAATTAATCACTTATTTTCGGTGTCTCAGTTTCTTCTCCTGTAAGAAAGGAACACACTTATTTAGTTGCTCTGTCTCCAAGGGCTGTTGTGATACATAATTAATCTTTATAAATCATTTACTGATCTTTGAAGTGAAGGGGCTGTATTTATTTAAGAGTACAAAGCAGCAGCAACAATAAAAAAAAGGAACATAGAAAAAGAATGTTAGTTAATTTCTAACAATAGATTTTCTTCCTATGTCATCTGCTAGGACACCGGGGCACTTTTTTGGCACTATATAACATGCTGCTTTTGTTCTGTGTCACAGTGATTGAAGTATGGCTGCTCGGCCAGAAGAAGCAGCCCAAACTGCAGGTCTAAACCACCCGAGCCTTGGAGTTAAGAGTATGACTGCCACAGAAATGAAGGAAAAGCAGAGGAAGGATAAGCTGCCATGTCTTAGTAATTATGCTCCGTGGAAAGACTGTTTTTATGAAAAGGTACAGCAGAGGTGTCTGAATCTGCAGGAGACAAAAGTGAAGATGATTCATGCACAAAAGGCGAAAGAAGAAAAGGTAAAAAAGAAGGAACCCTGTGACTGGCTGTCCAAAGAGTGGTTCAGTGAAGACAAAGAGTCACTAGATACTCGTATCTATTTGCTTGACAAACTCTTACCTACATTAATCCCAGGAGTAGAAAACCTGTTAATGGAAGTGGAAAGAAAGAATCTGCTTGCACCAGACAAAGAACCAACCGAGTTTAACCCCATTAATTTTCTTGGAGAATATTTGATGAGACATCACCCTCAGTATGGAATTTCTATAAAACCAGGCCCATACCTGAGAGGAATGAAGATGGTTCTGGAGCAGCTAAAAGCTGAGGTGCCAGGCACAGCATCAGAGAGGTGAGAGAATGGAAAGTGTGGCTGCTCACAAGAACCAGAGCTGGTGTCTTGGTCTCTGTTTCACAAAAGGAGTGGTGTGACCACAGCCTGGCTGGTGAAATGTCGAACAAAATGAACCCTGTGGAGTACAGTGCCAGAGATGGTAGTTGTCTCTTGTAAAAACTTGAGAAGCAGGATGAATGCCAGAACATGTCACACAAAATGAAACACTAGTTATTCCTGTTTAAGGCAATACTCTGCCCTTCACAAGTATATAGTTCCTTTCTAGACTGTATCTTAATTACATATATGGAATGCAAACTGCTTTCAAGCCAGTCTAGGTTAGGGACAGCAGTTCTTTAGGACAGGTGTTGGTATCAAAGGGCTATGGACTCTTCAGATCATTTTTTCTGTAATCTCCCAATCTTTATAAAAAGATGATCTTCTTTACCTCCGTCAGGATGACTTCTCTTGACCAAACCAACAACGATATTGTCCTGGCACATCATAGAAACTCTGTCTCCTAGGATTTTTACTTTACCCTTTCCTTTCAGATTCCTTTTCCCTTTAAAGTAGAAACTGGTTTGTATTTTATGTTGCTTGTTTCTGGGGTGTATTTTAGGCTGCGTGCTTTAGTATAATATTTAATGAATATTGGAAGAGGCTTCCGTGGCGTCTTACAATGTTCTAAGGTTAGAATCTGAGTGCATTAGGTGAACAGTAATGCTTTCATTTTAATTGCTTTATTCAGAAAAATACAGAAGTGAACATTTGTTTTTATAGATGACCCAGAGGTGATTGTGAATCATGTCAAAATTACTAGTTCACTACAAGATCACTTTATTCTATATCTGTGTTTGTGGAATAATGACTTCTATTTGACTGGCTGTCTCTTCTATTTGCATAAATGGTACATACAGCTTGAAAATTGGTTTCAGGGTTTCAGTGTCAGGAATGAGGGAAGTAAAATGCTGAGATGTCTTGTGCATAAACTCTAAATGAAGATAATTGAAGTTCCCAGTATTATAATGAATAAAAGAATATGTTAAATCTCTCTCTACTGCTCTGAATTTCTTCTCTACATTTCTAGTCCACATACTGTTATGGTTCATAGTAACATGCCTTTTGTGAATACAACTAAAGCAGTGTGATAAGCGAATTTCATACAATCACTTACCTCCTTTTTCCCCCCAGATAAAAATAATTCTGACTGACTGATCATGGTCAGTGTGTAAGAGCACAGCTTTTTGGCTTTTCTTCATAAGCAGACACACAGTAGTACAACCAGAAACAAATGGTCTAGGGAAACACAGGCTGCTGTGAGATGATGTTTAGGATGACAGCCTTGCCAGACCTTTGTTTTGGGGACTGTTTCACCATTCATATTGCTTCACAGGGGGACACCTGGATGCAGGAAGTTAAGAACCATATCTTATTTTCATTTTGCGAAAGAAATTGAATTAAAATACATACAATTTTCTGGGGGTTTTGGGTTGGTTTTTTTGTTTGGTTTTGGCTTTTCCCTGCTAAAATACTCTTAGCTTTCATTGTGAATCAGAGCTTATTTCTGGAGAAGTTGGATTTTCCTGTAGAATGCAGTGTTGGGTACCAGTGACGTGTTATCTTGGCCTTGGCTGTTAAGTCCATGTTTACATTTGGAGACAGGTTCTCAATTTGTAGCTATCAGAGCTGATGCAAAGGAAGTGACTATCAAGACTTATAGAAATCAATCTCTCCGTAGACAGCATTGCCCCAGGGGTTTATGTAGCCATAGCTGTAGCAGGTTTTGCATATCCGCTGGTAGTAGTATCATGGGATTTGCATTCTCAGCAGCTCAGGATTTACATATTTGTGATGGCTGTATTGTGGGATTTGCATAGGATTCTTAAATCACAGCAGTGCAGAGGATTTTACCAACACCATGTAGCACTGAGGCTCCTAATGTGAGTCACTGGCTTTCTAAACAGGGAAAGAAAAACATTACAAGAGAAATGCCAGTTTGTGCTCAAAATCTCTCACGTAAGGAAGATGAGTGAAATTCTGGCCCCAGTGGAGCTCCTGCGGGCCTTGACATTACCTTCTAGAAAGGCAGGATTTCACCACAGGTTCTTACTGGTCCTCAGTCAGCTCTCTCTGGCTTCCTCCAGTCTCTCCTTATCTGGCACCTGACTGGGAGGCAAGGCACGCAGGAGAACAGATGGGAGAAATTCCTCATCCAAATGGCTCGGTACCTGAAACAGAGACGTTATTGGTCCAGGGATGGTAGTCCTTCAGTCTGAGTCACCCATCCTTGTGTGGGAGTTAGGCGGCTGGCTTCCTGAGGAAACATGTTTCATTCTGCAGGGAGAAGTCACCCTTGCTGCCATCTCATCTTCCCTGGAAATGTCTAATACTCAAAATGAGCTCAGTTTGAAATGGGTGCCCAGCACCGTTAGAGCCTGTTTTGCCTTTATTGTCTAGGGGGGAAACATTTTGTCTGGGGGATGCCAGGCTGAGGATGCAGCTGCCCCATGGTTTAGAATGAAAATGAATGGAAATGAATAGAAATGAAAGGAAAACTGCAGCACAGTGCAGGTGCAGCACGCGATGGAACTTGTGCTGAGCCCTGCCCAAATTAATCACTAGAGCACTTTGGCAGCCCCTAGCATGGCCTTAGCTCTGCTTTCGGCTTGCAAACCACTCCTGAGGAAGAGCTGCAGCTAGAAATAGTCTGTTTTTCTGTCTGTAGCATACATTGGAGAAAAATCTGTTAGTCCATTTAGCTTGGTACCTGCTCCATATCTTCTCTTTGCTGTGTCTGAAGGAGGCAGAAGGCAGGAAATTGTTTTACCCTTCCCCTGCTATCAAAGTGCCGGAGGCTGAACTGCCTCAGCGGGCACTTGTGCAATGCACATGATTGATTAAGAAACCAAATTATTCATTGAGAAACCTCTGTGATAAGTGGCCATGAAGAGCAAGTACCTAGTGATAAAACTGACTGCGATCAAAGTGTATTGCTGTAATGTGTTAAGCAGATCTTTCTATTCATTAATGAAAATATCATTGCTTTATAATTTCTAGGATGGCCCTGTAGCAAGAGAAGAGAGCAGGGACAGAATCAGCCCATCTTCATAATATGTAAAGCACAGGTGGCGGAAAGGAGCAGAAATCTTTAGTTAAAATATAGTTTCTGGACTAGGGCACAAAAGAGGAGCAGTTCCCCTTACTCTGACCAGCTTTAAGGGTGTTATGAGAGGGCAGATGTCTCAATGCAGAGAGTCCAGCAGCCTCCGTGAGCAGCAACTGTGCTCCCCATATGAACTGATCCCCTGGCTTTAAGCATTTTGAACTTCCTAAAGGCTTTCTTTTTTTTTTTTTTCCATTTCATAAATGAACAAATTAAAAACCAAAGCAGATGAGTTCTGTGGGATCAATTTTATTCAGTTCTTTTGATGTGTGAAATGGAGGATTGAGAAAAACATGTCTGGGTGACTAAGAAGCAAAGAAAATGAAAGAGGAAAGGGAGGTAGTTTTTAGTCCAAGCGTGCAAAGTCTGTGTGTTTTAAATGACAGAGAAGTTGGTGTATTATCCCTGTCTTAAGGCAGTCAGGACTTCGTTGTGTGAGACTGCTTCAGAAATTCCATTGGACATTGTTTTTTGCCAGTGAAGTGCTCCTGTGAAATGGTACTCAGGCTTTGAGACAAATGCATACTGATGCAATGTTGTTGGTAAATCAAGTGTAGCAAAATTAGGCACCTCTGTTCCTGCTGAAATTGAAAGGAAATTGAAGGATGTCTACATAATAAATGATTAATGCCATTATAAATGTGAAGGTTAAATTGATCACTGTTGAAACTCTACAAACTAAGAGAGATGTACACAATTTTCCCTTAAATATCTTCTGTATACTCTACAAGAGGCTCTCTCTGCATGCACCTATCTGACACTCAGGTTATTTCTTCAGATTCATAGTTACACTAGATTTCAGGAGATGATACACGTTAGTATATAAATACTCTCACATCCTTGGAGCTGCCCTCTGAAAGCACAGATGACTAATATCTAGCCCAATAGTCACACTAGTAATTTTGTGCCCCAAACATCAAGTATTTATTTGGAGAAAAATCTACTTGTACTAAAAGGGCAAGAATTTCAGTAAGAAGTTATTTCCTTAACTTTTGTTCTTCAGGTATAGGCTTAATCTAGTTTAAATAAGTTTATGATGGTATCTTTCTAAACCATATTCCCATGTCCTACAGGCTGGCCAGATTGAAGTCTGAGGCAAAGAACAAACGTAAGGAAAGGGAGCAGGTGGAAATTATGAAGTCTCAGGTGAAAAAGATGAGAAAAGAGGCGCTGGCAGTTCAGTTCAGAGAGTGGACAGTGGATGTCAGTGGCAGAATACCGGTTGCACTGGTAACTAGGGGTGATCCTTATTAACACACTGCTATGATTGTTCCAGACAGGAGGAAAAGGAAGGTTGTGATAGTGCAGTCTGCCCTAGCATGGCAGCGTGGAGGACAAGGATGGGTAATGGCTCTGACATCCCTTAGGGTCAGGGTGCAGGTCGCGGTCTACCACTCAGCCTCACCAAGCCCTGATTCCTCGGAGCACATGGAAGGGTTGCAATGTGTTTTCCACAGGCATCCTGGGAAGCTAAATGCCCTGTGAAGCACTCAGACACTCCTGAGGTTGTTTGATACATACCTCATCACTGGATCTCCTTCTCCTCAAAATCCCCTTAAAAAGGTCCAGGGCAGCCATTCTTGGTCTCCTGTGGCCTCCATTAAGTCTTCTTTTTACCCCTGTGACTCATACAAACTGATACTGCAGCTCATAAAAGATGAGATTTGCAGCAATACATCTCCTGGTACAAGCATCTTTCTTACAAGTGACAGAGGGCCCCTAGGAAATTGTCCTCTGGTTACACACAACACAACAAAGAGAAGGTCTACATTTAACAGGGCCCACCTCTGTGTGGTAAGAAGAATGGCTGGCCCATACAACTAATTATTGCGGGTGATTTATTTTAGTAATTACCTACTGTTGTCTGCATGAAACAAGCCTTTGACTATTACCTTGATTTGTAGGTTCAGAGTGCCCTGAGGTCTTTTCTGGATGTCATTGCTTCTACACCCATAGATGTGAGAAAAGGTAAGTTTTTGATGTGTCTCCTTTAGTTTTTGCTGTGGTCTGAATGCTGATGCAAGCTGTGAGCAAACAACAAACAGATTTGATAACAGAGAAAGAATCCAGAAGGATAGTTACACCAGCTAGGATATTAAACACAAATCTTCAGACAGATTGGAAAGAGACTGAACCACCATGTCATTCATTAATAGGATCTTGAAAAGTACAGAGAGAAGTTTAAAAAATCTTTCAGAGAGATAGAAAGAACAGATGCAGGCCCTTTCCACTTACATCCTACGTTAGCCAGACATTGCCATGTGCTCATCACTATTTTTAAGAATCACTGTAACAACCTCCTTCACCTGCCCTATCACATGGTGATCTTGGAAATCCCATGGACAGCTTGGCATTTTGGGGGGTATGGAGGAAAGGTAGGATCCAAAAAATTGAAGTCTGATAATGTTGTTACCTTCTATGGTTTCAGAGAAAATGCTGAAGCTTACCTAATGCTCCACCAAACCGCACATCTTGTCTAGCCATTCCCTTTGCCAGTCCCAGGCATGGCAGTGACACACAGCACAGGGGCCTCTGTATCAGAGCACTCAGCACAGAAAGACTTCCATAATTCCTCTCCCCTTTACAGAGCTTACACTTGACCTCCCTGAATAATGATAATTGAATAGATAGAGCCAGGAACATAGGAGTGGCAATGTACAGCCTGCTGCCAGCCCTTTACGTTGATAGCCTGTAATGATCATCAATAATAACAAATCTGCCTTTGCTGGAAGATGGGATGATAAGCGGGGAACCTCCAGAGTGCATTTCTGCTGGCTGCTGGAGTCACCTCTGTCTAGAGCTTGCCCTTGCTCAGCCCTTTCTGTATTACAGAATTGTTCCTCCGAGTAATCATCCTATATTGGAGGTACGTTGGGCGAATGCCAAACACAGCCCTCGTGCTCCTGCTGTGCTGGCTGTGGTTCCCAGTGTGAACAGAACACTGTTCTCCCATCCCCATCCGTGGGATGGGAGATGGAGAAGGAGGTTTCTGTCCAGATGCTTGTTCTACAGATGCTTGAGGTGCTTTATGTCATATTTCACTAATAGCGTGACTCCATTTCTTAATGTATTTCATTTAATAGCATTCAATATACATTAACAAAACATTAAGCTTTGGTTTATAGTGTAATAAAGATAATGTCTTAACCATCAAGAGATAAATGCATTCTATGGTGGATTTTCTCATCATTCTTGATATATTGTAGAAGAAAGAACAGAAAAGAATTACCAACAGAAATAGTGTGCCTGTGCTCAAGGATCTTATTCAGAAATCTATGTAGATATTTGACACACCTTCTCAGTTCCATTACAGCAGCCCAGAAACTGACCAAAAATAGTTTTGAGTGTCAGCATCAGTAAAAATATTCCCACAGAGCTCCTTGGGAAAATTACTAGGATTTTCAGGTTTCAGTCTTGCAAACCAGAATCCATGTCCCTACCAACATATGTCAAGAATAAGTACAACTATACAGTTCTGGTAAGTGCAGATTTGCAGCAAGAGAAATATGTAAGAATCCTGTTTAGATACCCTCTAGACAGTCAGATGCTTCAGCTACTATGTAGGATAGTCTCAAATACATGTAATCCAACATGAGGAAAAAGTTAATGTAACATACAGTACGCAAAAAATGTGTACAATATGCAAACCCACAACTGTTTGCTTTCTAAACCAATAACCCTTCATTTTTTACTAGCAGTCTATGACAAGAAGCTGGAAGTCGTCAACACATTGGGAAAAAAAGTAAACATAGATGAATTCACAGAGGTAAGAAATTAAATAAGAGCATCGGATTCCGAATATGATGTTTGCCACAAAGCAGTGGCATTTCCTTGTGGCCAGCTGAATAAGCGAAGGGCTTCAATTCTCCAGCATCCCAGGTAACTGGTTGTATTGGGACATTTCGTGTTCTATCGTCGTATCTATCCTCTGTCGTCGCAATGCTTCCCTTCTGGCCAACAAGGGGAAGTGTTTTACCTTCCTTAGAGCTGCAGCTTGTGCTGTTCTCTGACAACTTACTGTGGAAGCAGAGGTTTTTAGGACATTCCTTTCTATCACTGATATGTTGCAAGGAAACAAACCTGGAATCATTTGGTAATTCAGATTTTGGCTGTTCAAGGGAGGTTTGGTGTCCCAATATAACCATTAGCCTGAGGTAATTAATACTGTCCCCAATGAATTGTTATTTCTGATGAAATTCTATTAACTGTAGAAAAACCTAACAAGTAATTAACTGGGATGAGAAGCTCTACCATTGTCTGCCCTGAACTATTACTGGCCAAACTGCAACAAATGTCATAATAACCAGGCTAAAATATGTGTAGTTTTAAAATCAAAGGTGTCATTGAGAAACATCAGAAGTGTGGTCTTAACTCACTAAAACCAAGAAACACAGTCAGAAGTTTCACCTCATTACTCTGCTCTTCATCAATTTGAAAACAACCAAATCAGTTCAAACTAAATTTTCTTTAAAAACTCTCCAAGCCAAGACTTTGCCAGCCAATTTCTACCTACAACAGAGCTAAATTTTACAGCTTGGTAATTAAACCTGTGAAAAAGGATGTTTAGAATAGAAATAATGACAGACCCTCAATTGCAGCAGTGCTAGTGGGTGCTGTTACAATAATTAAAAACAGAGTACAAAGCAGCTGTGCAGAGACTAATTTCATGCAACCATGTGTGATTTTTGTGCCTTCTTTTGCTCTCAGGAGATTCACATGTTCAGTATTTTGCACAGAGATGCATTTTTATGATAACTTGTTGATGGCTTTTTTAAGCTTGAAATGAGGTATTTTTAATTTTAACCTCAGAATAACTGCATTTAATTAGGAAAACTATTGTGGATAATGGGAGTCCAGAGGATTGCTTTTCTCAGTGAAATGAAGCATCAATCCATAACCCCTGTGGTACGTGTATAACCACTGAATGAATTCATGCTCCATTAGCGTTAGAAAAATGTTTTAAAATATATTTTGTGTACTCTTTATTTTAATTCAATTAAATATATGACAACAGAGATCAGAAGTACAAAAGATGTGGACTGTCAAGCTGTCTGATTTACCAGTCAGTGCAACGATGTTCTCAGAATATATTCTCTGATGCTTTTTCCAGTCCGGCTTTAATTGAACCAAATGATGAGGCTTTCATCCCTTCCCTTGGGAACTGCTCCATAATCACAGGCCTCGCTCTCAGGACGGGGCTGCTTCTAATCCTCAGCTACAATTTACCTTTGTTCATCAGTTTGCATCATCCACCAAAATCAGAGGGAGATGATCTTTCTCCACACTGGTCTAGGCCCTTCCACATGTGGAAAGCATTGCCTTTTAATAGAGCTTAAAATTAAATGGCACCTTTTTTTTTTTCCTTCCTTGGATTCATTGCAGCTTTGGGTTACTTAACGGTTGTCAGACGCTCAGTAGAGAGACCCCACACATTGTTATTGGGTTTTGGGGTCTTTTTTTTTTTGGAGATGCAAAACAGTGGCTGTTGTATTTTTACATCCTTTATGACAAGCTCATGGAGTCATTTATATGAAAAGTGTTTAAATCCCAGAGACCAGTCCTTAATAGTTTATTTCACAGGCTTTGTACCTGCATGAACACACGGAACCCCCAGCAGTCTGACACAAAGCTATTGCACCAAGGGAAATACTCACATTGCCTTTGTAGGGTCAGAATCAGGCTTTAAAGGTGAGATTATTTTTCATCATTGCATGTGGCTTCCCCAATTTCTGTTGAGATCAGCAGGAATAAAAGCAAAGATCCATTGTAATTGATGATGATGTATTCACGAACACAGTAGGTCTCGCACTGGATAGCAGGAAGGAGGTGTGCCAGCTTTCTTCTGAGTGGTGTCAAAATCTCTTGGTTAATAATAAATAAATGTATGCTTATTCTGTGTACAGTACTTTACACAGTAGAATGCTTTACACACATCAGCTAAGAAAAGCTTCTGACTCTACGATAGTTCCTCCTGCCCACATAGCTGAACATACGCTTCTAAAATATTTTCTGGGGAGCTGTTAGACAGCAGTATTAATACACAAGCCTTTGGATGTGTCATCAAGATGACATACAAAATAACAAGCTGCTTGTCCAACCTGCCTCCTCCCAGCTGCTGTCATCTCTAAGGTTCATCTGTTGCTGGGCTCCAGGTTGTAATCGCTCTGAAAATCTAGTAGATACACATAGCCCCAGATCTGCCAGCTTCTCTCCAACCCACCTACATCCTCTCTTTTTATGCTGAAATGCAGAAAAACCCCACATTGCGTTAGGAGTTCTTCTTTCCCACCAGCCACCCCTCAGGCCTTTGGTTGCTGCTCTTCTGCTCTTCCTCTCTTCTCCACTTGTCCCATATACTTGGAAATTATGCAATATAGACATGAATAATAATAACTTATATTAATATTTCAGTTTGTTAATGCCTGTGCGGCATTTCAGCAAGTCCAGGATGTTCTAGCAATTATGTCAGGTATCCATACTCTAAAAATGGGATAATGGAAAACATTCTGTGTTTGCAAATTCCTCTTTTTAACTGTATAGGCTCCCTGTTACTGTGGCTGGCTCCAGGAACCTGCTACAATAATTCAGCCCAGGCTTTGGGATTGTGGTTTGTTCTGATGGCCATTATTATTTATGTCATGCACACCACATTTTTAGAACCATATTGCCTTTGCTCATAAAAACCACATGGCTATAAATCCAAAGTGTTAAAGTGTCTCCAAGGCTAGAAATTAAAATAAATCTCGAGTCAGTAGTGTTCCCAGTGTCAGAGGACTTAAGTGACAGCAGGCTCATTTTCAAAAGGTTCTTTCCTTTTTTTATTGTATCCAAACTTGTTCTCTAAACACTGAAATTGTGGGCAATGGTAATTTTGTGGCATTAGAGAGTTGAGTGACTGTCAGTTCTGCAAAAACTAATGGCTAAAAATTTCTCCTTGGGAGTAAAGTCAGCAATACTAAATGCTGCAGAAAGCCATGGAGAAGTTATATCCTCCCTGAGATAACCTAACTTAAGCAATGGCATTTCACAGGAGGGATTCTGATCCAGCATCCCTGAACCACTGAACATGATAAGTGACTTCTGGGCCAGGAGAGGAACTGTTCAATATGCATTTGGGCAGTGCCTAACACAGCAGTCCAGGGTTTTTTTTTTTTTTTTTTTTGAGAATATTGCTGCTTCTGAAAGAAAGAACAAAGCAAGTGGTGTAGCATCCAGGCACCAAGCCTGCATTACGTTAGCAGATTGACAAATTCCCATGTATTTCATTGCATGCAATAGATATTTAAGAATTCAAATAAAGCTGAAAATACTTGAAGAAAGCTAACCACTTACACTGCTGCTTTCTCTCCACAGTATGTCCATTTCTACACTGAACATTTTTCAGATGACATGTTCCAAGAAATTCTGAAGCATTTCCGTCAGTGTGCTGATGACTTCCAAGAAGCAATAAGACATGATACATGGAGGCGAATGTTTGCTGAGCTCTTCCTGGATCGTGATTATGGAAAGGTAGGCAAAGCAGCTCTCAACTTAATTTCAATATGGTGATGCTACCAGTTTGGTATTTCTCTGGGTCACTGCCTTCTTTATATTCTTCATGACTCCAGATACTCTCTTTGTGATTACTCAGCATTATTTTAGAGGACAATACCTGCTGCATTGTCTTTAACTTCATAGTTCTTAGACACAGAAATAGCCAATAGTATATAAGCTGATGGCTAATTAGAAAACGAATGATCTCACTTGATGACTTGGGGCTGATGTTTGATGATTCTGGAGAAGAAATTAACCACAAACTTTACTACTTCTGGTCATTACCTGCTCCCAGAGCACACTCAGAATGTTTGGGTGCTAGTTTGTCTATTCAGCTGTACTACAGAAAAGATAACCTGAAAAGAGATTGACCTTAATAAGTATGCACATTACTACAATAGTAACATATATTGTGTTAATTATGTTGTATTACTTTATACACCTTTAGGGCTTCTATCAATAAATCTCATAATAGTTTAAATTTAAAATGCAAAATAATCTATCTTTACAACCTCTCTGAGAAAAGTACTGTGAACTTCAGCCACAGTTTATGGGCAGGAAATTAAAATACGAGTCAGTTACAGAGCTGGAACTGGAACTCAAAAGCCATAATTTGGTTTTCAGCAGCTCTAAACTCTATCATCCTCTGAATACACCTGCATCCCCATTTAAAAAAAAAAAGGCAGAAAGAAAAGTGAGGTTTATTAGAAAACCAGTAAATAGTAGGAGCTGAAGAATCAATGGCATAAGTTATTGTTAAAAACTGGGCTTCATCCAAAAAGTATGGTCCTTGTTATGAGTAGCCTAAGTTAGCCAGTTGTGGGCTACTGCACACCAAATGGTTGCCATAATCTTACAGTTTTCTCCTGTGCATAAATTATATATTCCATCCAGCACTCCCCTAGTGATGCTTACAGCCTGCCTACCCAGAGCGAACTGTGCTCTACAATGTCATGCTAATAATGTCATTACCTCTAAGAGAATGGAATTGCACAGCACGTTTTAACACCAATGGTGTGTTTTAAAGAACAGCAGCAAGTTGCTCTTTCAGGGATGAGGAGAGAAATGTGTCTACGTCTCAGTTAGAAGACATTTCATTTCCCTGTTGCTCTGTCAAGAAGAGCTATGATGGATCCTCCTGGGTAGAGCAATATATTAAGCTAAGTCCTATCTTTGCTATTAATTTTGAAAGGATCCCTTCTTTCCCTTTCATGTTTTAATGTGACTTTCTTCCTATTATTTCTGCGGCAGTAATCACCATCTCCATGCTACTAATCCCAGTGGAATCTCAGAGGCAGAGAGCCAAAAATGCTAGCACACCATAACAAGAGGGAGCAGCTATCAGCACAGACACCATCGCTGCCCAGAAAAAAATGATCAGACTACAAACATGGTTGCTGTTTCTAGCCTCCGAGGTAGCCTTGCTCTGCAAACTGAGTTCACTAAACTATAGTGTGGACCATGCAGCTCTTTTAAACCTGACCTGGTTTCTTTTGTGTAGCTCTAATAAGTCCTGCCATACTGTACCCACAGGGAAGATAAAAGATGCAAACTAACCCAAGGACTTCTACAGCTTGAATGTGATCCATTACCTGTAGTACTCATTCTGCAAAGCACAGCAAAGCAGTTGTTTCAGTTCCTAATTTACATTTGTTTGGTAGCAGGCAGTTATTCCAGTCTGCATGGTGAGTGTGGCTGGCTGCCTCAGTGAGTTGCAATTAAGGCCAGGGAGCTGAGAAAGCAGTGTTTAAATTACAGTCAAATTAGAAGGTATCCACATGATCATTATTGTGATTTCAAATGCATGCATCCAGAAGGATGGCAGCTCAGCAAGAATAGCCTGGACTATACAGTGAAGCAGAAACTTTCCAAGACAATACCAAAACACAGTTGAATCACTGCTCTAATGCCCAAAAAGGTAATAGCTCGGTACATTTTAAGCTTATTCTCTCTCTGTGCTCGCATGTATCAAGTATAGTTTCTTTTATACATTATAACAGAACCTGTATTAATTTTCAAGAATGTTTTAAGCCTAGAATCTTTAAATGTAACTGAATTTAGGCAAAGAATAGTTTTCAATCTAACAAAGTTTGAGACAGTCTGATTACCTTTCTTGCAGTACAGCAACAACAGAGTCTGCTTTGTCATGACCTTTTCTGCATCTCTGTTCTTCCCATCTTGCTCGCTAACGAGCATATTGTGCTGTTCGGGGTACATGCATCACATTTCCAGAAAAACAATCAAGCAGTTAAACACTGACCTATCCCTGATGAAATGGTAAGTCTGGTTTAGTCTGTGTTGCTGAAGGAATTACTCATAGATCACAGAGCATTGCTGAAAACGACTGAGAATCATCACCTGCCAATATCGAGGTGACAAGAAAATTGGGTCAACATGTTTCAACTCTCCAGCCACTGAAGTTGGCACTCGTTAAAAGTGGAGAGGAGTTTTGGGCGGTTGTACAAACACAGATGGCCTGCTGTTATTTATGTACCTGTCCCACCGACAAGATTCAGTACAAAGCACTGATGGCAGGAATCTTTCATCAGCCTCCCCAGTCACACCCGAAGTACAAAGAAATATGACCTTTTCTAGTAAATTTAGGAATTTTGAAAGATAGCATAACTGGGTGTAGGACCTTGGAACTGGTTTTCCTGTTGTAATGCTCCTCTCTTCTATAGATAGCTTTACCGTGACATGTCCTTCCCAAGGGACAAATTGTAAGGCAATGTGTCCTGAAATAACAGGGACTTCCAGTAGAATGGCAAATCTGTACAAATTGTAAATGTTAAAACGAGGTGGAAAACATACCCCTAATTCATATTCAGTAATTTCATATAAGGAATATACTATTTTCTAATATAAAAATAAAATTATTTAATCAAAATCACAAAAATCTTCTCAAATATGAGTTATCTAAATCCTCCAAGTATATTATTTTAAAATGACAAGGAGCATCTGAATCCCAAACCAACATTGTTATTGTCTTTTTCATAATACTTCATTCATTGATTTACCTTTTTAATAAAATAAAGCTTTGCATTAGTGCTGCCAACTTCAAGGCAGCCAGGAAATGATTGTGACAAGGAAATTTAAAGGGAAACTTAAGTTTGTGTAATGGACTGAATGGAGAATCCAAATACTACGCAATGATATGGTAACATCTTCAGAAATTTGTTCTGTGTTTGTGTATCTACTAAATGGCTGCAGAATCCAATCTGATATATTCAACTGAAAACCAAACAGCATAAAGAAATGTTTTCACAGGAGCATGCAAGATATTTATATATTAATGTCAAGAAGATGAAGATGCTGGGAATCAGAGCCTACATCTTGCAAGTTTAAGGACAGAACTGTGATGACATTTGTTGTTACAAATTCACACATGGATGAAATTCAGCTGTAATTTTCAGCATTTTTTTACCATCAGGAATTAAGTTACGGGAGTCTGAAACACTAAAACTGACCTGGATGGCTGCTTACATTTCAGTTCTGATCCTTTCCTAAGAATTTGCAAAAAGCTTTCAATTCCTTTAGAGGAAAGGTGTTGCAGTAACAGAAAATGTGATGCATTCGCCTAGTTTTCAGTATTAGCTTATTTGGGAAGCACTTCACCAGCAGAGATCCCAGAAGGGCATCTCTCAGTTGTTTTCAAATCTTCTATTCCTCACATTAATGCCACTAATTACTAATAACGCAGTCATCTTGAGTTCATTTCCAGAAAAGAGCAGCAAACTTCTTCCTTTGTTTCTTCAGCCTAAGGGCAGGAAAAGTTCACAAGAAATTAAAAGCTTGATGAATTTCACATTTTGCGGTTTTTAATCTAAGAACAAAATGTGAAAAGGAAATCAATAATTCAATTGGAAATCAATAATTCAATTGGAAAGCTACAAATGATGAACTTAAGTAAATCTGTTCTCTAATTAACTACTGTATTTCACTAATGAGAGGGAGATTACAAAGGTGGCAGGGCTGAAATGATGACAATAGGAATTAATCATAAAATGGAAAACTTGAAATCGTTTAGATTTCCTTTACTTTTTAAACTCACAATTTCCTGATTGGAAGTGACCCATTCCATTGTCTTTTCCTGGTTTTATTGTCTGCACGCACTCACCCTGAGTAACAAGGACTTAACAAACTCTGCATATTCCTCTGCACTGGAACTGCTGATACCTCTCACCTCTGCGGTCAAATGTGTTTGAATTTTTAAAGGAAATTAGGGAGGTTGTCATAATAGCTTAGATTTTTTTCACTAATTATTTTCCTAGGCAGTTGCCAATACATAATGCTTCAAAGGAAATGGCGGGGCACAAAACCAAACTACGATCTGCAGACACTAACATAATACAGCACAGCCCGTAATATGTGAAAATTCTTTCGTAGTACTGTCAGGCAATCAATATCTGTCTTGAAAGTGTGAAATGTTGAAGCTTTGATCTTTACATGAAGAACTCCTTTGGCAGAAGTGGTTACAATCATCCAACTGTAATTTGTCAAGAATATGCAAGAGGATGTGCCTGCAAAGTAATATGTATGAGGGGTTCCAGCTAAGCCCAGAGAAGAAGTTTTTGCCTCCATGAAATAAATTCATTTTTAGAAATTTGTACTGGTGTTCTGGTAATGGATAATTTTCAGTCACAGGTAGTTCTTAGCTAATGGTACTTTTGTAGTGCTGCAAATGTTGATGTAAGTCCCAAGAACCACAGGAAAAAAAAACAATAATTGTGATCTTTTTGTCTAGGTCGGTCTCTTAGATAGACAAAAAATACTTGCCCTACTGGTAGACTTCTATGACAACAGCCCGGTGGCTGCCAAGAGGGGATTCTGTAACCCAAGACAGTGTAAGTATATGGGATGTTTCAATTGTGCCTAAAACATTAGGAGGTCACACGAGGTATAGTGAATACAGTGAATATAGAATATAGTGAATATGTATTTTATAAGCGTTACCAGAAATGAACAGAGCCTGTGGGATGAATGAATGCTGTCACCTATACACCATAATTTGCAAACATGTTTTGCAAACTGTGATGCAATGTTCAGAAATACTTCAGCACCCAAAACTTTTCTTCCCTACAAAATTCTGAAATACTGTTTGGAAGTAGGATTAAACAAAGACTACTTTTCCTGAAACAGTTGTTCTTTCTTACTGGACAATATTCGAAGTTAATTTTGTGTTTACACTAAAATTTCTCCAGGAACATGGAAGGATAAAGAAAAAACACATAGAATCATCTACATGAAAGTAAAATATTTTTAAGATATTGGACATTAATTACTTGCTAAGATCAAATGCAAGGCAAATTACAGCTTTCTTTCTTACTATAGAGAATTATGAAACATGATATTTATTTCAAAAGAAATATGGTGTAATCCACAATAGCAAGTGCAATTCTCTGCAGGCAAAGACATTATTCTGAAGTTTTGTGTTTCTGCAAAGTGTGTTTGCAGAAGGTACTTTCTGATAGTTTGTATTTGCTAAGCAATAACATTTAAAAAAAAAAAATTCTTAGGCAATAATAGAGAACATAAAACCAATGAAAACTATCAATGTATCAATATTTGTTCTATTTTAGGGCCAATAATTGAGCTGCAAGATATTGAGCTTGCAGATTTATGGGGAGGCCTCGATGACCAAGAAGACATCAAAACTGAGAGGCAAACTGAATCTGCAAGTGGAGGCAGACAGGAGGAAGATCTCCTAGGATCAGGCTCTCTTGGGTACAGTCTCGGTAGAGATGGAGAACCTGGATCTGAAAAACAGGTAGAGGAAGAGGAGTTTAGCCTGGGTAGAGAGCCTGCTACAGAAACAAATAGGGAAGAAGATTATCATATGTTGGACAGAGAACCTGGATCAGAAGGGCAAGTTAGTCAGGAGGGGAACAATTTGATTGCAGAGGCAAACAGTACTATTTCAGGACCAGCTCCTGAAGCTGTAACCGTGACCTCAGAAGACAGAGCTGTGGCAGACACGGACATCATTGCTTCAGAACAGGATGCCCCGGTTGCAGAGGCTGTGAGAGAAACTCCTGCAAGAAAGGAGAGTTTTTCTAGGCAGCATGGCAGCCAGTTTGACCAACAGACAAGCTCAGAGACAGGACAGCAGGATGAGGACCTTGTGCAAGACCAGCATAAAGGTAAGGCATTTTTCTTTATTCTAGCAGACCTTAATTTTCTTCGATGTATACATTTGGACTGGTTTAAGTATAGGTGTATTTTTAATCCATTTCAAAACTATTGGAAACACGTGAGTGATTTCTGTGTACACAAGACCATAAGCCTTGGTATCTTCTCAGCATGGTGTTTTCTGCCAAGGTTTCAGAGTGTGCTCCTCTCACAGGACAGCAGGTGAGTCACTTTGCTGGTGATCTGTATTCAAGGCACTGAGCAGACACTTTAATTCAAATGGGGACTTTCTGAAGCACCAGCATTTTTATAATAAGGAGAAACTTTATGTTCTGTTTCACTCTGTAATAATAGTATAGCAAGACAGAAGACTGAGCACATTAAGTATAGAAATGACTTTTAATAATTTTTAAACTGTGATGGCCCGTAGGGAGATATATTATGAGATCATATAGCAGGAACCTTTTATTTTAGTCTCTTGCTGTGTTTCCAAAGTACTGCCATACTTCTTAATTGTGTACAAAGGCCCTTGTTCTAGGAAGGCTGTGGTCAGGCAACCATGTGTTTCCTAAAAGGTACTGAAGGACCAACCTCCTTGCTAGTGCTCTGTGAATACGCTCTCATGTCTCACAGTTTAAAACACTGCAAGAGGTGGGTCTACATTGCCAGAGCAGCCTAGTGACAAACTTAGTACATAAAAAAGCTGTAAAGCTGATAGTACAGCCCACTAGTATCTACAGCTTTTTGTGGCTAACTTCCAGAACACAGCACTCACCTGTCATTCAGCCAGTCCCCGGCTGTGCGTCCCGCATTGTTTGGAGCGTGCAGTACTTCCATCTCCAGAGCAGATTCCCACCCTGTTACTGCAGAAATGATGGTGTGATGGTAAGATGCTCTTTGAGAGAAAGGTGGATGGAAACAAGAAGTCTAAATATTATTTTGAACCTATCTCAGAAAATAATTTATCTCATTAGTCTTGCTAAAATGGATATTTCTAGCTGGGCTTAAAAAATGAAACATTCACCAGGTGGATTTTAGGAAGCAGTATTTCCAGACAGTAAAAATAAATAGCTACTGATAACAAGGGTAACTCCAGAGACACAGAGGTAGATTTTACACGTTAATCAGCAGGGTGCTCAGACTAGTAAGCTCTGGTTCATGGAAGATTTATTTTTAAAATTGCAGGTCCAGCACACTCAGACAGACAGGATTCTCCAGCTGAAGCTAGCCAGGAGTTTGAAGTGCCGTGGTCAGGTGACTGCTCATGTCAGCTCTTTTCATCTGCTTCAGAAGCTATAGTTTGGATATATGTATTTAAGGGCTTTTAGAAAAGCTGTATTTTGTGTCTTTTTTAAAAGCTTGTGTCATTACAAGTTATATTTTATCTTTCATCAGGTGACCTTCTGACTTCTGACCTAACTTTCAGGTATAGCAGCTATGGAGAGAAAATTCCAGAGGACTGGAAGCACGATAACACTAAATTTCCAGGTATTTAGTCCCAAAGTTGTGTGTTCACTTGGGCACATAGTGTCTGGCAGTGTCTGCAGACATGCCAGTACCGCTGAGAGCTGAAAGTTTGGGCAAGAATACAACCCTTAATTCCTGAAGCTGACTTTGAGACAGGAGCACTGTAGTCTTTGTCTCAGAAGGCCACTTGCTGTGTAACAGTAATTTCAGCTCACCTGCGTTCAGTGATTTGACCTGGTTGTATGACAGCATCCATGCTAGACTGGAGCATAAATCTGAAGAGATACTATTAGAAAAGTATAAGCAGATTAAGGCTTTTAGTCAGCAGGGAGTCAGTCTGTACTCAGCCATTTTTTCACCAAATAGGAAGTGCAGGATTCAGGACTGCGTTGATACCTGCCACGTGGCCGGCTTTAGGGAGGCATTTGGCTTCTTGCAACACACTGTGCTTTCTGCCTTTCAGACTTATGTCCCATCATGGCAGAGATTCAGAACCGTGGGGCTTCTTCTACAAGGAGTGCCTTTGATAAAAGCTGCCTCAACCTGCCACAGTTTGTACAGCTCATGGAGATATTTGTTGGTGAAGACATTTCTCTGCCTACTGTGAAGAGGCTTGTTGCATTTATCAAGGAAGAATACAAACAGACAGAAGAGGAAAAAATGGAACAGCTAAAAAAAGTAAATATTGATAAGTTTTGCTGATCCCATGTCCAAACAAAAAACAAGCAAGTGTCTGCAGAAACTGACAAAGTCAACTTTTAATCTCATGCTGACAGAGCTATTCATTTGCAGCCTGGCATTCTCTATTTCTTCAAGAGACCTTTTCCCCCTTTGTTTTCATATGGCTCCTCCCTCCCTAGCCCTTAGCTCCAGAAGTGATGACAGACTCATCCTGTTGTCTGTCTGTTCTAGAGCTGGACTCAGTGAGACAGCAGGTTGATAGTTAATTGTGAAAGAGCTGAAAACATTCCATTCTGCTTATTCACCTTTATAATAGCCAAGAACCTGATCTCTGACCTACTGCATTGGCATGTACATATGAGGTGGTGGATGTTTTGGGGAGGATTTTAAAACAAGTGTGTTTGGTTTTGCTATGTGCATGGCTGTATGTGAATGTGCACATCCTTCTTTGTGTTTAAGGTACAAGGTCCTCTTGTCATGAGTGGAAAAAATATATTCCACTTCAGCAATATTCTCATGCACAGCATCAGGCTGGCTGCATCACTTTAGAGTACAGATATATTTTGTGGTGGGTCTATCCATAGTAGCCTCTCTAGCTGCATTTTCCTTAGCCCTTTTTCTAGTTCCCCTCTGTGCTGCTGACCTAATTTGGATGAGATATTGGATCTGACGGCTCTACTGTCCTCATGCTGAACACACCACACACTGCCAGTATTTTGGCCTTTGAGAGAATTCCACTCCAGCCATTTCTCACTGTATGCTGTGCAAAGACTGGGTTTAAAGAACAATTTGTGCATGCGTTTGCTTGGAGCCCACACACTTCAGGGCAGCACCAGCAAAATAACAATGTACGGAAATACAAACTGTACCATCTTTGGGTGTTACTAACAAGGCTGTGGTTAGTTCTTGCTGGTAAGACATTTGTATTCTGGAAAACTTGCACTTATTTGAGCTGATCCCACCTTAGATCCAGCACAGACTTCATGTGTTCACTGAGAAATAACCCTCTGCAGGGCTGATTCTGCCTGGTAAAACTGAACTGTTGGCGCTGTTTAGTGTTTCCAAATATCTCCCAGGTTTAATGATTTATCTCCAGGTCTAAGCTGTGTATTTACAGTATTTTCCATATTTGTGTAGTCACTGAGCATCAGTGTTCAGGAATTATCAAAGGCTGGCTGTTTCTCTGTTGTAGATTCACCGAAGCTCTCACTTGGCCCAACGGAAACTGCTTTTGGAGGCACTTTTCAAAAAGTGGGACAACAATGCGTCCGGGTTTCTGGACCTGGAAGAGGTGGATGCTGTTCTAAGCACATTCAAGGAAGGGATGGAAAAAGAGGCTTTGAGGAAAGGTAAGGAAACAGCTCTGCTCTGAGAGAACAATGTCAACACAGCAGGCCTTGAACCATTCAACGACAGTGCTAATGAAGTTGTTGGCAAGCACCAGTAATTTTTTGTTTTTGCAAGCAGTCATAAGCATACAAGGTATGATGTATAAAATGAAAAGGAACAGTTATCCAGACCTACTTGTTACTGCACAGCTCCATCCTCTCCTCCTGTGCGAGACTCCTCTGAGACAGATTCCCAGTCAGAGGTAGCCTAATGCTTTCATGATATTGTGCCGTGTTGAAAATTATTTCAGCTGTAACATGCAATATATAGGTGCTATATGGCAGTGAAAAACACACATAAAGCCCGAGGACATGTTTTGAGCGTTGAGTCTGGCCTGTCTGTGTTATCCAGCAATTTCTAACAGATACATTTTACTGTGCTATCTGCAGGAACATATCTCATAGGAGCTTTCCTTATGGATCTCAAACAGCCTTTAGTAATCCACACTGTTGTACAGCTCTCATGAATTAGATAGCAACTTCAAGTCTCTCTTCTCTGGTTGGCTCATGTCTCCAAATAAACTTAGCAAATTTGGTCCTTGACAGAGTAGACTTGGGTCAGACAGAAGTGCTGCATGTTCACGTGGACCTGTCTGGCAGCCTCAAACATGTTAACATGTGGGCATTAGGTGCTTTGAAATACTGTATTAGCAATTAAGAACACATCTGCGTGTGTGCTTGGGTGGAGAGGACTCATTTATTCATCTCCACATGTATCTTCATGTTGTTTGTTCTGCCACATATTACTGAGAATGGCTCATTTTGGCAACAACCAAAATCTCTTTATTCTGTAGCTCATCTGAGGCAGCTGGTAGGGTGGGGAGCAAACTGGCATACTAGGGTTGTCTCCAGGCTGGAGACAGCCATGGAAGAAATGAGCAGTTTACAGCTCTCTTGTATTCAAAGCATGCCAGAACACAGTACAGAAATATGGAAGGACATAGTCCCTTCCATGAGGGGCTCATAAACTAAAGGACAAATGAATAGGAAGATAGCATAGCAAAATCAATACCACCTCCAGCAACATAAAACTATTTCTAGCAGCTTCAACCTAATCTCCCAAAGACATTGCAGGTTTGGGGGAAGGGTTCATGGACGTTGCACTGCTCCTGGATGAAAACACAAGTGGAAAGTGGGTAAAATTATTTGATTTTCCTTGTAAGTGAAAGGCGTAATGTTACAGATACAATGGGGAAAATAATTCATTATGCTGTGGCTCAGTAATGAAGGCATTGATCATGCCATGTTCAACTTCATGTGTATTTCTTTCTTTATCTCTTTCTTCAAAGAGAAGAGATAGCAGAGGTGAAAATCCAAGCATTTTTATACGATACAAAAATTCTGCATCCTAGTTCTGTCAGAAAATCAGAAATTAAATTAAAAAACACCGTATGTTTTTTAGATGATGGGGCAGGGTAAGACAGCATTAACAGTCAGCTCCACCAGTGATTGGGGCCAGTTAGTACTTGCTATTTCCATAGCCAAAATCAATTATAAAATGCCCCCTGATTTTGGGGGTGGGGGGAGGAAGAAGTAGGCTCTCAGATCCTATAAACTTCTGTGTCTTGGGTGCACTGGGAGGGGACCAGGGCAGATCCCTGCCTGTTCCTGTGCGTCATTAATCAAAGTATTTTCTATTACACTGTTCCTTATAGACCACTGTATGTATCGATCACAAAACACTCCCTGCTTAACAGTAAAGTCACACTTCTACCTATCTACCTTTACTAGCTGGAAGCGGCTTGACATACATACAGCTCTCTTTCTTTTTCTTTACTTCTTGGAGTCCAGTAAGATTTAAAATCAGGATGCAGGGGGAAAAAAAAATGATGGAAGCGTTAGTCATGGGAGTGCTGAGGAGAGGCTGAGCCAGGAGCAGGATGGGGAGAGCACAGCCCGGGCAGAGCACCCGGGGAGCCCCAGCTTTCCAGGGCCTGCCGGGGCTTCCAAAGGCTGTGCAAGAGCACCCTCGTGAGCCCAAGCTGCCCTGAGAGCTGCTCTGTCACACTGGCTGCTGCTTTCAGTAACATCTGGATACACACCGATGGGGTAAATTGGACGTTTTTATGCTCTGTCAGGATTACAAGTCCAACACGAAGCCCGTTTGTCTTCAGGACCTGTGAGCAAATTGGAAGTTTGTGAACTAGAATGAGTGGATGCAGGAAAGTGATTCTTGGGAATCATAATCTCACCCTTGTGGCATTCCTTTTTTTCCCATCCTCCAAGCAAATGGAAACTGCCAGACCTTTCTGCTGCAGTTTATTTGCCCGTATTTGGGCCAGCCCAGCTGCAAGCTCTGGGCCATGAAAAAGGGAACCCAAGTCATGGCTCCTCTCCCCAGCCTTGTGCAAGATGGGAAGGAGCAGCCTCCATGCAGTGATCCTTATTCCTTCACTCCCCTGGAAGCTAACAGGCAGCACTTAATTGTTTTAGATGCTTTTCATACTAATTTATTCTTCTAAACCCTGTATTTCTTATAAAAGCTCTCTTGCTCCCTTTGTTCCACCTCTACCTCCCTTGGTGCAGTACAGATGATCCCAGAGCACTGTTGTCCAGACCTCTGTATGACTTCAACAGTTTTCATTTTCTTTGCTCTTTGTTTATGAGATTTAGCACAATATAAATGTTATTTCAATAATTCATCAAAGGCAGTTAAAGAAGGATAATTAAGAAAGACAGTTACTTTGGAAGGCCTCAAAAGAAAAACGTAACGTCTGCAAGTATGATAAATAATGGAAAATCCAGAAATATGACTAATCTGTGAAATCATCTATAGGCTCTGGCCTTCACATTTTTAATGGGATTGATGAATAGTTTTTCTGTAAGATCTCAACTACTATTACTGTATACACAATGCCATCTGCAGCCCAGTCCCACCAGCCCCTCAAGTGTCCATATTTGGTTCTGATGTGAAGATATCTATGATTTTTGACAACTCCAAGCAGCTTTCCTAATTCCCGTTGACCTTTAATGCTATGTGGGTTTCTTTCTGAGCAGGTGAGAAAGTAGGCATCTAGAGGAAAAGGTATGTCCAGTCTTGAAGCTGGAGATTACCTGTCAGGATGACAATTTACATTTAGAAGCTGGAGAAAACCCAGAATGATGGACTGGAGCATCTAGTTTAGGGCTTGATTCGTATTTTGCACAAGAAAAGTAAAAGATTTTATCCAAATAGACTGTCCCTATCTTATTTTGTGTTTCTTCTACTAGCAAAGCAGCACCTTTGCTCCCGTTACCCACAGCTCAGCAGAGTGAAGAAGCTGTCCCCAGAGGCATTCCAGACCTTCCTTGAGTTAGTTGCTTCTGAGTTCACTGGTGATGAGGATGAAGCTATTGATAACTTGGTGGAATTTCTGACCACAAGCACAGAACGAAGTAGCACGGAGTGTTTGCAAAGCTCAACCAGGAGGAAATGGCTGCACAATATCCAGCAGGCAGCTGAGAGCCGTGGAGCGAGCGTGGAAGCGGTTTACAAAGCAGCGTTTAAGGCCCTCTCCCAGGTACGGAGCCCAGGGAGCACAAGAGTCATTTGTGTTGAGATTGTGACGCTGACTTCAAGCCTTGATGTGTTTGAGTGGAACTCACAGATGGCATGGGAAGCTGGTCTGAGGCTGGTCTTGTGCCTTTCTGCATCTAGCTGGTGCTTGGGAGAGTCCATGGTTATGCACAGAAAGAGTCACAGGTCAGATCTGCAATAACAGGAATTCTTGACCATGCTCTGCCAATCCAGGATGCATCTCATGGATACTTACGTCTCACTTTTTGAAGGGCTGACTCAGATCAAGTCTGGAAATCCATACTTCTAGTTTTCTAGATCTGAAATGAAAAACACCAGACTCAGTTTGGGACAAAGATGATTAATTTGTACTGGAAATTGTTTCATTTTTAACTTGCAGCTGAAACTTGAGATATCTGTCCTCACCATTAAAACCCCCTCAAAGCAAAACTTCTCTCTTGGTAGCTGAAGTGTTTTCACAACATTGTCTAGATTTGTAATAGCAACTCTGGCACTTGTTTGTCTGATTGTTCCAAAGGAATCTCCTATCGAAGGAGGAGTTTTGCTTAGGCACAGGTTATAATTAGGGATTATTTTTATATGAACTGCTCCCCGTTAGCAGCAGGAAAAAAGAAACCCGTTTTCCTTGCCAATCAAAATACCAAGTGTTTTGGCTTGTAACAGAGCGTACCGGTCAGACACGATCACAGCAGGGACACATGTCATGCAGTTGGTGCATGACATACAAAATCAGTGACCCAGAACAGCATCTCAGCAAAAATGAGACAAGTGCTAAGTACATGAAATAAGTGTAATGGCCAACAGCTAATGTACATAATGTAATGGGAAACATTTGGTTGCTAGGATGCAGAAGCCCATGGGGATAACAAGAAGATCAGCGCGTATATTGCCCTTTTGGAAGAGAACCAGCTCTCACCAGAGCGGGGACAGATTCTCCTACGCTATGTGGCATGTACCACACATGATGCCCCATATGTTCTCAACAAGATACTTTACAGAGACATGAAAGGAGTAAGGTAAGAAAAGATGTAAATAACTGTTCCTTTTTCTCAAAAATATTTGGAACGTAGGGGTACCAAGCAGTGTTTGGGGCGCACTGGAAACAGAGGTTGATAGAGGACTCCAGAGAGGAAATCTCCTTAGGGACTGTTGTGGAATGATTGATTATGGTATACAAGCCCTGATACTTTGCATGGTCTGCTTAGAACTGCTCTGTTTGGGATTTCACTCCTTTCCTTGGGGAGATTAGCTCACAGTCTAATAAATCTCATCCTTTAGCAAAAATCTATTATATGGGGCCTACATTTTCTTCTTTAAAAATTAATTGCCTTACACCAGTTTACATCCACAGGATATTTTTGAGAACAATGCCTTTCCTTCCCTAGTGTTTATGCTATAAACAGCTTTCATGCCTCTTTACTTCTTCTTCCCAGAAGCTAGACATATTTGTCTCTTTCTTTAAATATTGCTTCTTGTAACCTATTAAATGTAGCTGCTGCTCACTTCTGTATTCCCTTGCATTACATTTGTTGATGTTTTTAAAATGACCTGAGGATGAAAAGTGCCTTATTTATTACCGTTGTTTTGGGGATGCAAGTAGTAAATGTGGTATTTCTGGGTGTGGTCAGAGCACAGAGCTAACACCTTCCTTCTCTGATGCCCAAAAGCTGTAGTATTTATTGCTTTGTTAAAGGTTTTCTGCTATTCTGAACAAACCTCTGCATAAGTTTATTGTTCAGCTTCACAGCTGTTGAAGAAGGAAAGCCAATCCATGTTCCAAGAGTTCAGCTCCATGGAAATATCCACTTCTGGAACTATGACCGCCCAGTGGAGGAGAGAAAAGGTTCACTCCTGGTACTGCCATTGCAGGATGCTCACTGGAGAGTCTTTGGCATTCTAGGAGTTGACACTCTTCGGGACCAGTGTGAGAAAACCATCTTTCTGACCCATGAGATCAGTTTCTATCAGGTGGGCACCATCAGAAAGCAGTTTTTTAGACCGCTCTTCAAAAAGCTGTGTAGGGACCACCTGAATTTTACATCTTTGTTCTAGGTAAAAATAAGATGTACAACTAAGACAAGAACTGTGGCCCTCTTTTTACAGTATATGGTGAAAGTGGTGTGAACAGAACACCTTATCAATATCATACTGATTAGCATGTTATCTGTAATTGATTGCCAGGTATCACTTCATCAATAATTTATTCAAGCTTCTCCTGACTAGTAAATTAATTGCACTTTCGTGCAGAGCCCAAATATAGTAGTTTTTATTTCCTGAAGCTCTGCACCTCGTATTTGTTTATGTTTCCATAAAGTGACAAAAACCTTACTTTTTACATGGGGGACTAATTATAAGCAACAGCAGTTTGGATTTCTTTGGGATGCTCCTCAGAGATGCTCTTTGAGATGCAGCTGCACCGTCTGGGCAGCAGGGGGCGCAGTAAGCCAACGTTACCGGTCACCTCTCCACTGAACAACAACTTTTGTCCAGTTCAGAACTTCGCTGTTCTGCTGTTTTGCTGGAGTTTTAGAGCATTAGTTGATAAGGGACATTCCACAGTCACTTTTCAGCTTTACAAGTTCTGATTAAAGTAATTTGTTACAACCATTTTGCTGCATGACCGTTTCCCCAGCTTTTTTTTCTCCCAAATCATATAGAACTGTCTAGCTCATTTGGAGAATTCTGCTTTTGCAGGGAGTTTCTCATGCCTTCAGCAAAGCCTACCATCATGTCCACACACTGAAAAATGTCCTACAAATGACTGTTACTGCTCTGGACTGGTTGTATCCCAGGGCACCCAGCATCCACACTGTTACTACATACCTGGTGGAGCCTGGAAAAGACAAGGTATGCAGATTACTGGAGAATTACAGAATGTATGGAGATTCTGCACATGTCAAAACTATACTCTTTTATAAAAAAAAAAAAATAAAATAGAACGTTCTAGCTAATATATTAGCTCTTTATTCTGAACAAACATCAGCAACCAAGACATAAATACAGCTCAGGAAGTGGCTGCTACCAATTAGCCAGCTTGTAAAGGCAGCCCCCCCTCCCTGCAGATCATATTCCAGTTGTTCAGCAGGCACTGGGGCCCTGGGAAGCTTGTCAATTCACATACAAGTGAGTTAAGGAGATGAAAAGGGTATGCAATATTTAGGACTGATCCTGTGTCATCACAAAGTCTGCATGACATCTGCTGTAGCCATAATTCAGCTGCTTCCTCTGATAAGCATGGTTTATGTTGGCAGCTTTCTGTTGTCATTCCAGGCTCTGCACTGCTCCCTTGTTAGCTGCCTGATAGCCAGGTCACTTGCTCCCCTCTGTGCTTTTCACATGTCAAGGCACACTGACACAAACATGGCACAAGAAAGAGGACTGGGAAAAAGAAGGGGAACCTCTTCTTGGCCCGTGGATGTTTCTCAGTGTGGAACCTGGGGATGGATTAAATAGTCTGGTTGAGGGAGGTCTAGGGCACATTCTTCATGCATCTTGAGCAATATACCCTGGGAATAAACCCAAGTATTGTTGGGAAGTGACTTTAAACCATCCCATTGCACTTGAACGTGCATGGGAGTTTCCTTTAAGAAATAGTTTCTTCCCTTTCCAAGCTTCAAAAGGGCTGTTCCTTTCTTGGATGCAGCTAAACCTCCCTCTTCTCTCTTGCAGACATGCGACTATGCTCTGCGAAAGATGGTTACTAAAGAGAATACAGGACAAAAAGAAATTCATAGCTCTCCTGAGCTTCTCCTCAGGAAAGAAAACCTCTTAAGGTAGGCTCCAGCACCTGCAACCAAATGAGTCACCCCTGCTCCTAGACTCTAATCAGCATCAGGCTTGATCCACGTTACACAAAGCCCACAGTAATGCAGCCCTGCAAGAGGGTCTGTCTGTATCTCTCTTGCTATCAAGGCTTCTTGTGCATGTGTATTTGATACTGAGTTATGAAGGGGTGAGGAGTATTTTCTCTCTGAGTTTAGACCTGCAAAAACTTAACTTCCCACTTAATGCTTACCAGCTGAGCTGCCAAGCAAGCTCTACGTCTCTTATGAAAGGTTTGCAGGATTAGAGCCTACAATGAACTATTTTGCTCTTTAGAATAATCTGTCTTTTTTCCTGGCTATATTAGTCTCATTTCCTTCAACTATCTGTTTCCTTCCACTGCCAAGATCCTCACAGACTTGTCCCTTAAGCATATCACCCTTGTCAGAGTTGGTTGAAGAGCCATTTGCTGTTCCAGCAGATGTTTTTACTTTTTATAAAACTCTATAGAACAAATGTCAACACAGTTATAAACAGGAAACTGCCTTTAAAGCAAGGTTTGTTAAATTCTTATGATTTTCAGCAATCACTTTAGCTAAGCAATATGGTGTTCCACACTGCTACTTTCTCCTTGTTGTATATGGCTTGAATGATACGTAAAGCTGTGCATATTTCAGTTCAAGGAAATAAACAATGACTTAGTAAGGTAATACCTTTGTTTTAACAACAAGAGATGAACAGCATCTTACTAAAATACGCTAAGTAAATTACCAAAAGAAACCAGAATGCTAAAGCCTGTTAAATTTTCCTCTCTTTCCTCTTATTTCAGAGATTACCTGTTCAAGTGCACAGACAGTTCAGCGGTCATTCACGCTTCTGTCTGCAGAGAACAGCACATTGCGGTACCTCTCCGTGACCTCTCAGGACGAGCTTTTGGGTTATTTGATATCAGCATTGGACACCACCAGAAATTACCACCTCATGAACACAAAGACCTGCAGAAAATGCTGAAGGTGGCCCAAGCTGCCTGCTCTGAGATACTGAAGATGTCTTCAGAGGAACCAACCGATGTACTGGGTATTGTGCATACAGAGCCAAAATTGATTTTTTAGGGGTGAATCTCAGTAAAACCACATCTAAAATATAATTCCTACAAATATAGAAGGACAAACACAAACCTTTGGTACGTGTAGACTACTCCTGAGCAAACTTAAGTTAAACAGAATGTTTAGATTTTGGCTCTAGTTCACAGGATTTTTTTGTGCCCGAGTTCCACTGAAATCAAAGGTGTGAAGCAAGGTACTTTGTTGCCTTCAGAGATCTAGCATGTCCTCCTCAGACCCGCCCCAACTAAGATCAAAAGAATTTGAATGTCACAGTTCCAGAATTACCTGCATGCTTGAATCCTTCATGGACCTCTGCTTGCCTCTGAGGCAGATTTTGTCTCCTCCTCAACTACTTACCCATTTTTAGAAGTTTCATGGGATACTTGGGCTGTATACAAACCGATCACTCAGTCAAGGAGACAAAGAGTTAATCATAAAGAGGGCAGAGCCTTTCAGTCAATAAGTCTCCAGTAGAAGATGTTTCTGAGAAACTTCTTAAAAAGTTTGCTTTTCATTCCAGAGGCAGAACATGTGGCAAATTCAAGACATGCAGGGATTCTGTTCCACCAGTTCATGCTGCAGGACCTGCGCGAGTGCATCCAGAAACTTGATGCTGAGAGCTTTGCTGAAATGAAGAGCTACGTAGAACCTCCAGCTCTGGTACATAACACAGTTAAGGCTGTGCTGTTGCTTCTCCATCCAAACTGGAAGGACTCGGAGGAGATTGAAAACTGGAGTCAGTGTAAACTGGTGAGGCTTCAAAATGTTGAGATTTTGTTTTCTCTTCTTCTTCTCCCAAGAAGATATGGTGGAATTTGTCAAAGGTGAATTGGCAGTGAAATAATTCCTTACTTACACATTTCCTATATGCTTGACTTTGTCATCTTTAATTCTGTAACCCCTCTTTTAAGTTCTTCACCCCCACCTGACTCCTTTTGTTCTCTGCATTGCAGAAACTTGATGACAATTTGATTCAGGAGATTTATTGCTTTGATCCAACTGCTGCATCTGTGCAAGTTCAAGCAGAGCTGCTGCTGGCCTGCATCACAGGTAAATCTCATCAACTAATTGTGAGATTACCAGGCATGGCTCAGTAATGAAACAGTGTCAGCAGCAACCTTCAACTGAGTGCTTTTAAGGTCCTTACTTCAGAAATTAACTTTGAATCACAACAGATTAAACAACAGATAGGGTTCCTAAATATCTGCAGTCTTTTTTGGTCAATAAAAGTCATCCTGTTAAATTTAGGATCAAATTTCACTGCCTTAAGGAAAAGGGAGCAGATCAGCTTTGAAACTGACCAGAACAAGTGAGCTCATTGTAACCCCCAGATAAACTTATTAAGAATGATGGTTCTTTTGGCAAGTAATATGTAAAGACATATTAAGAATGATGGTTCTTTTGGCAAGTAAATCTTCCTCAGACCACCCTGCCCTGCCCAAGAGACTGACCCAGCTCCAAACAGCAACACGACTGTGGGCGGACAGTGTGAGCCCTCCTCTTTGTAAACACCATCTGCCAGGTACTTAATACACTCACTGGCCATATACAGGAGTGGGTTTCAGTCTGTCTTTCTCTCCTTTAATGAATGTGAGCTTTTTTTGGTGCCAGAGCAGTCAAGAGGCTATTATTATTTGCAATATCTCTGAAAAATAAATTACTCGTTCTTGATGAGATCTCTCCCTTGATGATCTAATGCCAGTCTGAGAGGTCTGTTAAAAATCAAATGTGGACAAGACTTGTTAATTTAGCTGGGGATATTTATCCACATACCCTGCCTGCTGATGAACACTGAACACTTAATGTCACAGTTCCTTTTCATGTGTTCTCATATATATTAAACTAATTCACTAGAAAAAACGAAGCAGGCCTAGAGCATCCAATCTTCCTCTGGTTAGGGATACAGGTGTAACTAGAAAGAATACAGCTTTGGTGAACTGTTGGTGTGCTACAAAAGGTTGGTTTCCCAGCATGGAACTTATTCTCAGAGAGTAGTGTCAGAGCAGCAGTGTGAACACAGGTATAACTCACAATTACAGGAATTCCGTTAAAATGAACATCACATAACGCCCATATATTCCATATAAGTGTACTTGCAATATAGAACAGAGCACAAAACAACCTACACTATCAACAGAGGAACCTTTAATGGTATGATTCTGTGGTGACCTTTAATAGCATTTAGTAAAAGAGCTTTGAAGGATAATTACTCTTAAATCAATTCTGAGCTTGGGAAAAAAATCACTGTTCTCTTTACATTTTTAATTACTAGATGTTTAGCATTACATTACAATATAGCAGAGCACTTTGTACAACAGGGGACCTGCCACAATACAAAAGAAATTATAACTCCTGTGCTCCTGTGACGATAATACTGTCTGCTTTTCAAAGCATCACCATTGTCCAGGGTGGAATTGCTGGACTCGGGGGGGCTCCACTGCTGGGGTGATCTTCTCTGCTCAGTCTGGTGGCAACACGGGGTCACAGGTTGGACTTGGCTTTGGGAGTTCCCTTTCTTCTCTGTTTCAGGGGAGCACAGAGCGGAGACGGAACATCAGGGCTGGTGGCCAACCCAGCTCCTGGGCCACTGGGTGCACACCTGCCTGGCACTAGCCCAGGGCACGAGCAGCCCACATGGTAAAAAAGCTTCCTTTTAGCCCCTTTTGGAGTCCAGTTCTAGTGTGCCTCCAGTTACATCTCTTAATTGTTCATCTAACTTTCGTGATTCTGGTATCTGACAGCTTTTATTAAATTATCTTTTTCTTCTTATGCTTTTTTTCTTCTTATGCCTTTTTCTTCTCTATGCATAGCTACTAAGTATTTATTGTTAAGATGGTAGGATGTCTGGTAGGGATTATTAAGAAAAAAACAATAAAAGCATTAAAGAAAACAATTTCACTGGTGTATCTACCAGACTTTAAAAGCCTGAGTAAATATATATTTTTTTAAATTAATCCCGATGAAAGAGAGGCAGGGATGTGTTTGTAACCACCAAGCTACAATGCTCGTCAATGATGCAGCAAAAATTTTCAAGACTCAAGTCTCCTTAAATTACTTTTTAGGAATAATTTTAACTTAAGGTTGTTAATCAGCATTTTGTGAAGTTTTTCTTAATGTGTTGCAGAAAAGCTCCACGTTTTTAATATAACAAATAAAGCTTTCTTATTGGGATACAGCTTGAGATTACAGCCCACTGCACCGCCGGTGGCAAGATTTCATCTTTCCAATAACGTTTCTGTTGGCGAAATCACACTTTTAATAAAATTTTGGGAAATTAAACTCCTCTTTCTTTTTTTAGTCGCCAACAAGCGACGTCTCCAGGCAGGTGACGGCTGGCGGGGACAGGGTGGCTTCTCACCCCCCTCCCCTGGCAACCGGTGGCCGCGGGGACCCGTGTCCGCCTCAGGCCTTGCCCGCCGCTCGGCTCCTTACGGTTCCTTTCGGTTCGGCTCGGCTCCTTTCGGTTTCGCTCGGCTCGGCTCAGCCGGGCTCGTCTCCCCTGAGGACGCCGCGAGCCGCCCTCAATAGCCTTTTCCCTATCGGCACTTTCGCCACTCGCCAACGGGCCGCTAAAAAAACCTCGTCGCCCACCTCCGTCCCTCTCCGCCCGCTCTCCTCTTCTTTTGGGGAGCGGGATCGCGGCGCGGCTCGGCGGGAGCCGCCGGGGTGGGCAGGGAAGGGGTTGAGGTGGGTCGTCTGAGGCGCGAGGAATCTGCGGCCGCAGAACGGCCGGCGGCTCTACCTGGCGGCGGCGACGGCAGCGGCCGGGACAAGATGGCGGCGTTGAGCAAGCAGTGAGTGACGGTGGAGCTGGGGATGCGGGGCTCTGCCGCGCCGCCGCCGGGCTCCTCGGGGCGGAGGGTCCGACCGAGCCCCGCTCGGTGTGGCTGGGGAGGTTTTGGGGCCGCCGCTGAGGGCGGGCGCAGGCGGGGCCCTGCCTTGGGCCGGGGTGAGCTCTGACAGAACCCCCGGGCCGGGCTGGGCCGCAGGAGGGGGCTCGCTCGTCCCGGCCGGTGTGTGTGAGCCGTGTACCCTGAGTTTATTACAAACAAACAAAACCCGAAGCAGTGGGAAGGCATCGCAGGCCGCTACGGTGTTGCTGGGGGTAGTTTGGACTCTTAGGAAGTAGAATCTCCACAGGATTCCCACACAACCCCCTGTGTGTCAGCCGCCATCACCCCCCCCTCCCCGAACGCGGCCCAGGCAGGGCCGGGGGGCGGCCGTGGCCTCTCGGCTCCGCGCAGCCGGGGCTGTTGGGCAGCGGGTTCGGAGCGGACGGAAGCAAATAGTTCGTCACAATGAGCATGTAGTGGCCCACGGCATCGTGGAGTTCCCCAGCCCAACGCTACGGGCTGTGACGGACTATTTACTTGGTGATGGAGTCATGGAAGGGCAGGTGGGGGAGAAATTCCTGATTTAGTGATCAAGACCAAAACCCTAGGAAGTGTTTCTGAGCACAGAGGTTGGCAGTGTCAGCAGAAGAGTTCTGCATGGCATAAACTGACTCTAAATCTTGTCTTTTGCCATAGCTGTATTTGTGGGTTGGAGGTTTACATTGCCACAGCAAACATAGTTACAGGATAGCATCTGGTGTAGAGTAAGACTAAATCTCTGCAGGTCAAATAGTAGTAATTTCTTACTTCTCAGAGGAAGAAAGAAAAAAAAAATCACTTGGAGAACTCTAGATGAGAGAAATTTATGGCCTAATTTAGGAAGATTATTGCATCCAGAAACTTTGCACAGAAAAAGACAGCAATAGCTATAGGAGGAGCTGTCAAGGCTGAGTGCACAGAGCTATACTTGGTACATTATGTTGATGCTGATCTTTTCTTTCTAAAATAGCAAACATTTTTTGTTTTGGAACGTGCTATGTGTTTTGTTGTAACTAATGTTAAAGGTAACTTTTTTTTTTTTCTCTAGATATGGGCTCATTATGCCCAAAAAATTGCCACAGAAAAATCTTGTTTCAAAGAAACTCTCAGTGTTTGACGATGACTCTGATGAAGAGGTCAGTTCAACAATTTTCTTCTGCAATTTGCCCTATCTTTTGCAAATTATTTGTTAACAACCCTTAATGCCTGCATCAGCTTATGGTGGTATTGCTAAGATACGTACCATCATTTTGGGTTTGGGTGTGAAATATGATCTGTGTTTTCTTTAGTGCAAGTCACAAGGAAGTGATGACTTGATTGTTTGTTACTTCCTGTCAACTCTTCCAAAAGTTCATCATGTGTAGAGACCTGTTTGCAAACATTAACAGTATCTAGCTCATATAGAAATTTGTTGGCTACCACTGGTAAATATATCTGCAAATAGAAAAACAGTAGTAATCAACAGTTGTTCCTCAGATACTGACTTTAAAGTGTAGTTGTTAAGTGTATTTTATCCTTTAGCACATTCAACCCAAATTTGGTATGACTGATGTATGATATTCAGACTCACTGTAAACAAAAGCAAAGATGTACAACCCAAAAGTTCTAAACACAAAAAAAGGCCAGTAATGCCGACTTAATGTAATTCTAAAAGTACTCACAATACTTGTCATATTGAACAATACACAGTTTTTCTATGATCCCAGAGTTTATTGATAGCTCTGTGATGTATGACTGTATTGCATGATATTGATAGTGATCTTTTCTGTAGTCTCCTTTCATTTTATTTTTTTTTTTCAGTATTACCTTCAAAATAATAGCTTTCTACCTGCCCCAGTAGAGGGTGCTGTACACTGTAACAATTCCACTTCTGGATGTTCTGCTATGAGGATGGGGGGCATCCTAGCTAGGATACCTTACAGAAACCTAACTTCTAAACCAGAATTTTGGGGGGAATTAAAGCTGGTAGCTTCGCAGTGTGTAGGACTCACAGGAAACACAGAGGACAGGAACATGTCTTAAATCCCATCTCTTTCCTCACTCAGCTGCTGTCCCCAGCCCTCTCAGGACATGTGTCCCTCCACTTGAGCTCAGAGCTGGCACTGTGTCTCTAAGGAGAGGGTTTCCTTTACATACAGCTAAGAGACTTGACAGTGGATCCACTGTCCTCAATGGCAGGAGCTCTTTCCCTGTCGATTTGGGATTTGGTGTCTTTCCCTACGTTAAGGGACTGACCCCACATTTTCCAGATCCCAAGAACGAGCTTGAATTAATCTATTCTCATTAAACATCGCACGGTGGGACTGGGAACCTTCTTGAGTATGGAGCTATCTTGTGTTTTTTCATTTCTTATTTTTCTTTAGTATCAAAACATTAAAGCAAAATAATGAATGCTAGTAATTCTAAGAAGAATAGTGTATGATGCTGTCTGCTAACTTCCAGTTTAACAGATCAAGTGTCCTCCCTTTCATTTCTGACAGATTCGCTACCGGAGTCTGCTATAAAGACTCTCAAAAGTTGTCATGCTCATCAGTATGGTACATGCCCAGCAAAAAGTAATAATCTCATAACTGCTTTTATCAAAGAAGATCATTTTTTAAAAAAGCAAAATTACTTTATTAGTTCAATAATAATTTCAGAGCTTTTCAAGATAAGGAGCAGCATTTGGGAGGGGTTTCATTTCCTGCCTGCTACCTTATCAGTCAGAACTACATCTCAAATGTCTGGAGATTATGTATTTTTAACTGAACTCTAATAAAGTTTGTGCTGGGAAATCTGCACACCTGACTTGGTCTGTGATTATATATTAGATACCAAACTTTTGCTCCCTTTTTTTTTTTAAGCGTTACTATGCGTATTTCATTAAGATTTTGCCTGTAGCCTGCTGAAGGAATTTGAAAGGTTTTTTTGCTGTGGCTAAGTACATTATGGATATTAGTTGCTGATGAAGATGGTCTTTGATTTATTTCATAAGAAACCAAACATCTGGAATGGAAATTTTCTTTAAATACAGTGTTGACTGGGAAGAAGTAAACCAGCTGATTCCAGTTGCTCCTAGCCAGTATAAGTCTGAATTATTTGCCTTCATAATGAGGAGTTGTCTTTAAAAGCTGGGGGGAAGGTTGTTACACCTAGGAAAGCCTGTTGTAGAGAGTAGATGTTACAGCAACAAACTATGATATGTTAGAAATATGTTTGCATTCTGGCTTATTGTTATTTGTGATATATCCATTTTCTCCAAAAACATTATTCCCTTATTCATGCATTGTGTTTTCAGAGGTGGCTTGTCAGCATTCCCAGTGCACGGTTCCACATTCTATTTTATCTTTGGAATTCAGTTGAAAATATCTCTGTGGTACAGCAGATAGAATTTCTGGTTTTTGATTGTATCAGAATTACCCAGCATACATTCCTGTACCATATCAGCCTTTCAAAACTGATTTGTTGCTACAGGATATAAAATGTAGCTGAAAAAGTAGGTGCTAATTTCAGGAGAGAGATCGTGGAGTCAGTGTGGATAGTTCTGTGAACGTATCAGCTTGATTTGCTGGTTTTTTTCAGTGACCATCTAAAAGATAAATCAAGTGTTTAAGCAGGCACAAAGGAAGAAACTAAAACCAAGCAACTATATCCTGTTGTAGTCTCAGATTTTTGCTTTTGGTTACGGATCCTTATGTTCACTTTGCCACTTTGCGACAGATACAATGTAACTGAAAAAAAAAAAGATTGGGGGACTGATGAGTATTGATGATGCAGAGTTTCTGCAACAGTTTTCATGCATAGTAAGACTAAGTAGACTAAATGGGCTCTTAGATTACTGAGGAGAAGGAAGAAGAGAGGAATAACTCAAGAGGATGTATGTAAAATCAAGAATGATTCAGAGAAAGTAAAGGCATTTTGGCACTTCTCATAATATGACCAGTAGGGTGTATTATGGAATTGGCAAGTAACTGGTTTAATCTAAACAAAAGGAGATGGGGGATTTTTCTGCATGCAATGTCTAATTAAATTGTGGAACTCATTGCTACAGGATATTGTGGCATGACCAAAAATATAAATGGATTCAGAAATGGATTAGTCAAATTAAGGGATGCTCTTGGTGTCAAACAATGGTCCAGGTGCATCCTTCAGTTCAGGAAGTCCCTAAACTCCGGGTTTCTGGAAACCAGAAGGGAATTCCAGGGAAAGCAGGGAAAGTATGTGACTTGTTTTTCATGTTCTTAATCTCCTGCTAGTAGCCATCACTGGTTTAGTGTGTGAATTGAGATGAATCTGTTGCCTGACTTGATTTTTTTTATTTTTCCCCCGTGAAGGCTTGAGTCTCACATACATTTAGTGATCATCCATGTGCAGGCTGTACTTGGGTGATGCAGGTCTCTATGAGGGCAAGCCTTAACAAATC